TCCAGGCACAGAGATTACATAGTCCACTTGGAAATCTTAACAATTTTGTATGAGACCCCTGTGATCAAATTCATGGTGATGGGGGGGAGAGAGGCGGAGGGGAGAACAACCCTGAAACTGCTCTGAACACCTCTTAATTAAGAGGGAAATCACCTTGTTCGGGGAATGGAAAAGATCCCAGGCCCTGCCTTTGGGGAGGTAGAATCTGGAGAAGGCGAATCTCCTAAAAGTAAATGGGAAGTGCTGAACACCGGCTTCCCTTCTATATATGGAATATGTGCGGCAGCTGCATACCATGGCATGTGCTGAACATCCAGACCTGGGGCTAGTCTCTTCTCATAGGGTTAGGAGGCAATAGCACTATAGGAATTGTCTTCGTGTGTGTTTGCACAAAGGGACCCTAAGTCTCTTTTTTTTGCCCTCTCCCTTCCATTGCAACCCAAATGGACCTTCAGGGTGACTCTTCAAAGGTTCTGAGTACCTCCTCAGCCCCGTGACTTCAGTGGCAATTGTGGATATTCAGCACATTTTGGAAATCAGGCTACCAGCCTAACTATAAGGGTGTGCGTGTGTAAGTGTAGAATATATTAAGGTCAATGCTTGTTTTGTCTAAACGCGAATTGCAGGGTTTGGTCCTCAATGACTTTGGCGAAGGCATGATAAACAACCAAAAGTTCAGGAATCATCTCTGAGAGCCAGAGTCTAATGCCCATGTGCAGAATAGCACCTCATTCCACAAGCAGTCATGCTGACTTCGGTGTAACAGTGACAGATGGCTGCTCAGTGTGAGTAAGGGCATCAGATTCTGGCCCTATGAAAATGTGTGGGATGCACCCACAAGCACGTGTGTGGTATAACACATTTGGGGTGTTTTTTCTTAAAGATCTGAAATTTTCAATCTGAATTAAAAGCCCAAGTGCTTAACAGTTATCACATCCGATGCCTTTGGAAAATATTGATCCATCATGAATTCACTCTTCAGCCTTGTATACAGAGGCAGATGAGGATTTTGCGGGGCCCAGGGCAGCACAATTTTGTGGGGCTCCCCCTTTAACACAGCGCATGCGCGGTGGCGCCGCGGTGCATGCGCGGGGCTTCTTGAAGCGTGGGGCCCGGGGCGGCCGCCCCGCTCGCCCTGCTCTATATCTGCCCCTGCTTGTAGATGTAACACAAGAGCCCGTAACAATGACTCAATTGATAGATGTTGCAGGTGAGATCTAAGCTTGGAAACAGAACCTTCTCTTTGGATCCCTAATCTATTAGAGTTCTTTGAAGGGGTTAACAAACATGCGGACAAGGGGGATCCAGTAGATATAGTATACTTGGATTTTCAGAAAGCCTTTGACAAGGTCCCTCACCAAAGGCTCTTGTGTAAATTACATGGCCATGGGATAAGAGGGAAGGTCCTTTCTTGGATTGAGAACTGGTTAAAAGACAGGAAACAAAGGGTAGGAATAAATGGTAAATTTTCAGATTGGAGAGGGGTAACTAGTGGTGTCCCCCAAGGGTCAGTCCTGGGACCAATCCTTTTCAACTTATTCATAAATGATCTGGAGAAAGGGGTAAGCAGTGAGGTAGTAAAGTTTGCAGATGATACCAAACTGTTTAGGATAGTCAAGACAGAAGCAGACTGTGAGGGACTCCAAAAATTTCTCACCAAGCTGAGTGATTGGGCAACAAAATGGCAAATGAAATTTAATGTGGATAAGTGTAAAGTAATGCACATCGGGAAAAATAACCCCAACTATACGTACAGTATGATGGGGGCTAATTTGGCTACGACAAATCAGGAAAGGGATCTTGGAGTTATCGTGGACAGTTCTCTGAAAACTTCCACACAGTGTGCAGCGGCGGTCAAAAAGTCAAATAGGATGCTAGGGATTATTAGGAAAGGGATAGAAAATAAGACCCAGAACATCTTACTGCCCCTGTATAAAACTATGGTACGCCCACATCTTGAATACTGTGTACAGATGTGGTCTCCTCACCTCAAAAAAGATATTTTGGCCTTGGAAAGGATTCAGAAAAGGGCAACTAAAATGATTAGGGGTTTGGAATGGGTCCCCTATGAAGAGAGGCTAAAGTGACTGGGACTTTTCAGTTTAGAAAAGGGGGGGATATGATAGAGGTCTATAAAATCACGAGTGGTGTGGAGAGGGCGAATAAAGAAAAGTTATTTATTAGTTCCCATAATAGAAGAACTAGAGGTCACCAAATGAAATTAATGGATAGCAGGTTTAAAACTAATAAAAGAAAGTTCTTCTTCACACAGCGTGTAGTCAACCTGTGGAACTCCTTGCCAGAGGAGGCTGTGAAGGCTATGCCAATACAGAGTTTAAAGAGAAGCTCGATAATTTCATAGAGGTTAGGTCCATAAAAGGCTATTAGCCAGGGAATAGAAATGGTGTCCCTGGCCTCTGTTTGTCAGAGGCTGGAGACGGATGGCACAAGACAAATCGCTTGATTATTGTCTTCGGTCCACCCCTTCTGGGGCATCTGGCACTGGCCACTGTCGGCATAAAGGCTACTGGGCTAGATGGACCTATGGTCTGACCCAGTATGGCCATTCTTATGATCTTCCTGGCTAGAACCAGAGTTGTTGACTCGAGTCCCATGACTTGAACTCGAGTCCGACTTAAGTCGCCTAGGTGACTTGACTTGAGACTCGACTCAGGTTCATTGTTTGTGACTTGAGACTCGACTTGAGACTTGCTAATTTTGTTAAATCGACTTGGTGAAAAAATTGTCCAAAAATGCCTATTTCGATGGCTTGTACAAAAGTGACTTGACATTTTTTTAAACTAAGACTTGAGACTCGACTTGGGACTTGACTCAAAAGTGACTTTAGGGACGCGAGACTCAACTTGAGGCTTGAACTGTAGTGACTTGAGACTCGACTTGGACTTGACAACGACAACGTGAAGACAGCACTGGCTAGAACAGCAAAGCTGAAGCAGAGGAATTGATTCCTGAGGGAGCTGGATTTCCCAGCCTAATCTAAAACAAATTGTTTTATCAAAAAGCCAACTCAGTTATTGAAAAGACTCTCCCCACACATTATGTATATATTTATAAATCTATACATAATTTTCACTATAGTCATGTGTATAATGTATTTGTATATATGCACACACTTTGTGTATAAGTGTGTGTGTAATATATATATAACTTCATTAAAGCTGAAAAACCAAACTCTCAAAAGTTAGGAAATGCCAAAATGAAGGGGAACTGTGCAATTTTAAGTGAGCCCTGGCATGCATGTGCTTTATGCTAATCTTTAATTACACCCTCAGATACCAGTTCACCATCTCTCACAAACCCTCTTCCTCATTCTGTGCACAGGAGGGAGAGTGCACAATTAATGAGCAGCTATTCAAGAGGTTGGTTTTCTTCTCATTGTTCACTGCATGGCCCTGGGCCTTATTTGCTGCACATAATTCAAACCCTGCTCTGAAGAATTATTAATGCCCTCCTGGGCTTTTCTGTGACACTCATCACCATGGTATCTGAGTGCGTCACAAATGTTAATGCATTTATTTTGAATTGAAGGGGTATTATTCCTGGTTTATGGGTGCAGAAGCTGAAGCAGAGAGATGATCAAAAGTATCCACTAATTCTGGGTGCCCAATTTGGGACCTGATTCTCTTATATAACCCCCATTCGTCGTCAGGTTAAACCTGTTTTTAGTGGAAATTTCCCAGGTTTTACAAAGTTATTCTTCCTCCAATTTTTCACCCTACTTCCCCATCATTCAAATATATAAAAATAACTTGCTTTATTAGGAAAATACAATACACTGCATAAGATATGTTACTATAGTAAACCAGTCTGTGTGTAGATGCAAAGCTGCCTGTTGACTAATACACAGCCTTACTTCTAGAAGATGCACACAATAAATAAACAGGCATGCATGCAAACTCTGAAGTGCATGCACATCTGAACGTAATGATGAATCTGACAGTCAGCACGTACCCACTTCAAGCTCTTAGCAGATAACGGTTTAAAGATTTCACACCCAAACATGGGATGAAAATGATCTATCTGAATGTTTCAGAATATAAGGATGTATTTGAAAGCTTTTAAAAAAAACAAAAACAGGAGAAAAGGATGGAGTGTGTGTGCAGCAAATGGTGTGATCTGGATATTATATGTAAATATGTATAGGCTAATGAGTCTACAACAGTAAACTGTTTATTCAAATGAAAACTTTACTTGGAAATTAGAGATGTGGTGTTTTCTGAAACTCCAAGGGTGCATTGTGTTTTGAGGTAGGTTTTAGTTCTGCAGCAAACCACACTGAATGATTAAATACAAGTATTAATCTACTGAATATTTTCCCTGACAAACTTTGATATTTACCCAGAAAAATAGGTTTTTATTTTTTACTGATTTTCATCTGTTCTTGTGGAAATAACTGATAAGTTCCTGGGATGGGTTTGTGGGAGGGATTAAATAAAATAAAAACTGAAAACAAGGGGCCCTAGTAATGGCCTTCTATGGCACCTTACATGTTCAAAGCACAGCTTTCTGACTTTAGGAGCAGCTGTGCACTTACCTCCGCCTCACAGGATTGGCCTCCAGAAAAGTAGAAGCCCATAATTAGCAACTACTTGTGAAAAAGGTGATTTTTTTTTTCTTAAGTGACTTTCCCAACATGGCCTAGGAAATCAGAGGCAGGGACAGATTCCTGTTTGCCAGGGCAGTTTTCAGCTCCCTTATCCATGATAGCTCCCTCCTGCGGGACTCGCGTCCAACTCGGGGAGCAAATGAAACACTCCCGAGGGCTTGACTTGGCAACTTTGTA